CGGCCGCGCCGCCGCCCCACGCGCGGAGCATCACGCCGGCCGCGCGCGACGCGCCGCGGCGCAGCGTCAGGCCGATATCCAGGTGCGCGCCGCCGACCGCGGGCAGCGGCAGCGGCGCGCCGGCGGCGAGCGTCAGCTCAGACGCGAGCCACGACTCGCCGCACCGCAGGCGGTCGATCTCGGGCACCGGGACCTGCAGCATCCGGTCAGAATCCGGGTCGAGGTACAGCAGGCGCGGGACGCCCATGCAGCCGGCGTAGTCGTACGTGCCCACCTGCAGGAAGCATGCAGGAAGTTGATGAGACGCAAGGGGATTGCCGGCGCATCGGCGCGTCGCGCGCGCCCCATAGCAAAGCTGCCGCAGCTGGCGCCACGGATCGCGATGCACGTCATGCCAAGCGTGCGTCGTCCCAACCTCGTCAGCGCCCTCCACCCTCGCTCTCAACCTCTCCCTCGTCCGTCAACCCCTGCACCTCCGTGCTCACAAAACACACCAGTTTTGTGCACCCCCCCCATGCTCATCATGCCCAAACACGCACCACAAGGCTCAGCAGAACGCCACACACAAACACACACACACACACACACACGCACACACCCAACCGCCCCGCCCCGCGCCCGAGCCCCTCACCGTGCGCTTCTCCTGCAGCCAGCTCCACAGCAGCGTGCGCCCGTGGTCATCCTCCATCACGTTCGGCGCGTACAGCACATCCCCAAGATCCAACCTAAATGGCCCCGCCGCGCCCGCCATGTCGAAGCGCCCGCCCGCATAGTCCCCCAGCCAGTAGATGGTGGGGTTGGTGCAGGCGTCAGGGGAGATGGTGTAGAAGTGCCGCCGCCGCCGTGGCGCAGCGGCCGCCTCCAGCTTGAGCTGCTGCAGCTCGTTGACCGGGTCAAGCTGGTGGTGGTAGTGCTGCTGCTGCTGCTGCTGCTGCTCGCCGGCGTGATGGTGGTGGTGCGGCTGCGGGCCGTCGTGCCGCAGAGGGCGGCGCTCGTGCCCGCCCCCGGCCGCCTTGCCCGCGCCGTCGCCGCCCGCGCCCAGCCCGGCGCCGGCGTGGCCGAGGCCGCTGGCGCCGCCGCGCAGGCGACCGCCGAGGCCGAGCGCGAGCGCCGGCGGCGCGCGCGCGCCGGGCGGCATCGGCTGCAGCTCAGCCACCAAGGGGCACTCCCAGACGGCGCCCGTCTCGCCGTCGCCGCAGCAGAGCAGCCCGTCGTACCGCCAGGCCGCGGCGCGCCGCAGGTCAGTTGTGCGGTACACCAGGCATGCGCCTGCGTGTCGGCGCCGATGCCAGGCGCACGCGGTCAGAAGAAATCCCTTTATGGACGAGCGGCAAGGCATTCGGCAGATCCCTCAAGCTCCCCGCCCTGTGCCCTGGCCCGGTTGCTGGACAATAACACGGGAAGCCGCTTTTCTCAAAACCCACCTCCGACGCCCTTGAGCCCGCTGCCGATGAGCACGATCCACTCGTTGCCGTTTGCCGCGCTGGGGCGCTCGACGACAAAGGGGTCGCGCCACCCGGTGAGCTCCAGGTCTGGCGGCGGCAGCTCGAGGAAGGGGGCCGAGTCCTTGCACCAAGTTATGAGGTCATGGTCGTCTGCGTGGCGCGCAAGGGAATGTGTGCATGTGCGTATTGATGTGTGTGTGTGCATGTGTATGTGTGTGTGCGCGCATGTGTGTGTGTGTGAGTGCACGTGTGCATGTGCGTGCGTGTATGTGCATGTACGCACATGTGTGTGAGTGTGTGTGTGTGAGAGTGCGTGCAGGCGTTCGCACACAGGCGCGTGTGAGTGAGTGTGTATGTTCTTGGGTATGCATGGAGTTCCAAGTGTGGCGCATGTGTAAATCCAGCAAGCTGTGCAAGCAGCCACGCGAGCGCTGCAAGGCAGCTGCGCCCGCGGCTGGCCGGACTGCCCTCGCACCCCCCTGGTCAGGACGCGGCACGCATGGCCGGGGGTGCTGCAGGTGCTGCGGGTGCTGCAAGTGCGCGGCGTGGCCCAAATGTGCGCCCACCTGGGTCCGCGGGGATCGCGCTGATTTGGCTCTCCACAAACGGCAGGTTGAGGTCGCGGTCCGCGGGCGGCAGAGGCAGCGCCGGGTTGGTGCGCAGCCGCACGCCGGTGTACAGAATCACCGGCCGCCCGTCGGTGTCGACCGTCGCGCAGCCGCTGAAGCAGCCTGGCGCGTCCAAGCCAGCGTGGCGGGTGGGGGTCGTCGGTGTGAGCTGGTGCGAGCGTTGAGGGGTGCCCTTGCGTCGCAGCAGACCAGGCGGTTGCTGGCATGCCGAGACGCCCATGGTCCGGAAGGGTGTGCTGACTCGTGATGACAAACACCCCCCCCCCCAGCGCCACGCTGCGGCCGAGCCGGCGTTGAAATCGGCCCCGCGCTGGCAAACCCAACGCTGCGCACCATCTGCATCCAGGGAGCCCGGGGTCGGCTCCAGGGCGTGCGGCAGGTGGTGCCACTGCACTAAGTCCGTGCTGACCGCATGGCCCCAGACCAGGCCAAACGCCCACTCGCAGCCCTCTGGCAGGTGCTGGTAAAAGCTGCATGGCGGTTGAGGAAGTTGAGCAGAACTCCGTGAGTTTCAGGGGCTGCGGCAGGGGACAGGGCGGTGGGTCTTGCTGGCCGGGCACCTGGTCCGGCAGCTGCACTGGCTGGGTGGAAGCTGGGGGGGTAGAAGCAGGGGCCGCGCCCAGGCGCCCCAGCTCCCACGGCCTCGCGTTTCACGCAGACATGCTGCTGCGCGCGTGCGGCGCATGCAGCGCAGTGCCTGGAGCACGGCAATTTCAGGCGCGGCGCGGCCGCAGGGCAGCGGCCACGACACTGCGGACGGAGGCGCGCAGCTGTCGTACGCCCCTGCGCCCTCCCCTTGCGTGCCCACAACCGCTCACAGGTGGTATTTCCCCTTGTACATAAACGGTCCTGCAAGAAATCAAGAGAGGAGAGCACAGCGACGCCATCAGCAGGGTTGCGCGGCGGAGGCGCAGAGCGCACGGCCGTCGAGGCATGAGCGCGGCCAGCAATGCAGCGCGCGGCCAGCAAGGAGCGGCGGCGCTGGGAACTTGACCCCTTGGGCCGTGCGAGGTACCAACCGTTGGGATCATTAACCTGCGAGCGAAGGGCGGCAGATCCGGTCAGCTCGGGGGTCCTGGGGCGGGGAATCAGCGGCACCACTGCCAGGCCTAGGCCGAGGGGCACGCACCCAGCCAGCTCTGGGCGCAACATGGAAGATGGGGCGGTGACCACCATCATGTCCAGATTCCATACTTCACGGCCGCATGCGAGGGCTGACCGGCGCCCACTCCTGCGAGGGACGGCCGCGATGGGCCCTGTGCTCTGGCCTGCCTATGATGTAGACAGATGAGATGGGGTGTTTAATATGGAGGGGATGCAGACCGCGTTGGCTTGTGAACCTGGCCCCGACGTGACTGCCTCAGCAGACGCCGCTCGCGTTATGGCATGCGCAGCACGCGCAAGACTGAATGCTTGCCGCCGCCGCGCTTGCTAAAAGGCGTAAAAGAATGATCCCAAAAAGTTGCCTTCACTCAGGAAACATGTGACCCTCGTGGACCGGTTTCAGCCCGCAACCCGTGACGCCGGTGACCACCGTACGTCGTGTTTATGCCCATGCATTGACCCGTGGCCCCGGACCCCTACTGGCACTCGACTTTCGATGGTGATGTCTGCCTCAACAAGGAGCTGAAACAGACTGCATGACAACTGAGTTGCAGGAGCCCCGGAGCCCCCACCACACATGTACAGGCAACTGGCAGTTGGCTCCCCTGGTGCGAGATATGTTCAAGAAGGCCAGCTGACCCACCACAGTAGGGTGCAGGAAGCGTTTGGGCAAGCCTTTCGACCACGCCTGTCACAACACTGCAAGAAAGATTCCATGTGCTCGTTCGCCGTGCCTGCGCAGCAGCTCGACCCGCCGCACTGCAGGAGCCAGCGCAGGACGACGCCCGCATAGCAAAGCAAACCCGTGAAGCGCGCGCAGCACCCCTATCTTTCGGCTGTGCACAGCTGCTGGTTGCTCTTCGTCCAGGCTGCGCACAGCAGTGGTCAGCGGCGACGCGCCCCTTCACCATACTCAGCGGGGGACAAGGCTCGACCCAATGCTAATTGTTGGTTGTGGCGCGGGGTTGAGAGCTCACATGTTTGCTAAGCAAGCGCCTACGGTATGTACGTCATCGGGCGCGGTCGCTGCGCCCTGACCGGGTTCAGAATCGCAGACGGGGTCATGCACGCCTCAGGGGGAGGCCCCTCGGCCGGAGTGCAGCAGGGCACAATGGCTGACTGCTGCCTGGCATGTGAGCTTTGAAGCTGAGAGCAAGATTGGCCTGCAGCCGCATGTGCGTGGGGTTTGAAGGGTAAGGGCCTCCGGTCCTCGGCGACACGTAGGCCAGCGTGCAAGCAGTCGGCTGGACTCACCTCACGGCCCGATGAGGGGTGTGCTGAGGTGGTTGAGGGAGCGGCACGCCGAAACAAGGCAGCATGCACTGCTGCGTTTTGTTACAGGAACAATCAACTCCTCACTACTCGCCAAGTGGAGCCGGTGTGTTGCTGTTCCTGGGAGTGACGCAGCGCCGCGCGCGCTGAGAGTATCCCTGGTGATGGTGCCGCTTGTGTTCCAGACTCTCCAGCCAGCGGCACCTGCTAGCGTGGTTGAACCGGGGCGGGTGCCGCCAAATATTGCTCCACTGATGCGCCTCAGCATCTTAGTAGGTGCACCAGAGTGCAGCGCGCCCAGCAGACCGCCACCTCTCGAGCCATAGAGCAGAACCTCCCAGTGCGAATCCCTAGAATGCCAACCACATACTCGCCCGCCTATGGTTGCTTGCAGGGCGGGTACGCGCGTACGTTGCTGCACACTGTGTTGGTGAAATGGTAAGAAATCTCACGGCTGGGATTGTGGCTGTCTGTGGGGAGGTCGCGAGCCCGCCGGTGGTGCCTCTTGTCACACCCGCCTCCCCCTTTCAGCGCCGGAAGGTGTGTGTCGTGACGGCTGCCGATGTTGCACCGGGCTGCGTGGGCTTGCAAATGCATGTCCTGTCCAGTTGGGGTTGGCGGCTTGTCTTTGCGCATCGTCAGCCGCGCTAGCTAGGGACGCGGCGCGTGTGCACATGGGCTGCTCACCTGACCCGACACACCTGTGCACACATGGACCGCCGCAATCGGAAGTACCACAGCACGCAGCCCTGTTGGCACGTGGTTCAAAGCGGATATTGCACCTGCATCACATCCAAATTCGTCATTCGTTAGTTTGGTCTTTGGTTCCTTCGGAGAGATCTCACTGCTCGCGCGCGTAGGCCATCTCAGGCGGTGGGGTATTCCGCATTCGATGCTTACCGCTGATAGTTCTCCATTGAGGGGGCAGGCGCGGCGTGACCGCGCCTAGAATTCCCCTGACGCCGGCATGTGAGGCAGCAGGGCAGCCACGCCAAGCCACGGAATGTCGAGCTCGGCATCTTCTAGTGCCACTGATCTTCTTTTTGGTTCAGAGCTCATTACAGCCCTGAAGCGGCAGCAGCCATCTGTCAAGGCGCCTGCCCAAGGCCACCGCGTCGCAGCAATGCAAGCGAACACGCCAGGCGGCCAGGATGAAACGTTACTGTATTCGTTCCCCAGCACCGGAGGCGGACAGCAGCCTGTGGCGCGGTAAGCACGGGGCCGCCACTGTCGGCCGCCTGCATCTGCGCATATCACACCTGTTGCTCATGCTCCGGCGATCTGCGTGGCGCCCTAAAGGCGCCAGCCACCGAGCTTGCCGTCACCAACACTCCTGCCGTTGGCCGTGCCGGCCATCACGCCAGCGAGGCGCGCTCCGCGTCACCAGCTGCCGCGGTGCACATGCTGCGCGCCCCGCCCGCCCGCCCTCCCCCGCAGGTGGGCCCACGCCGCCGCAGCGGTCGGCAGCCTGCTCTTCGTGTATGGCGGCGTGGGGCAGGTCGTCCTGGACGATCTCTCAGTCCTCGACGTCGACCTGATGACGTGGCGCTGCCTGAAGCCTCGCGCCGCGTCGCCGCGCGACCGCCCCGGGAAGCTGCACGCCGCGGCGATGGCCGCCTCCGGCCGCACCGTCTGGCTGCTCGGCGGCCAGCAGGGCCGAAAATTCTTGCGGGAGCTCTTCGCCTTGGACACGGACACGATGACATGGGCGCTCGCCGCACCCGGCGGCGCCGCGCCATCGGCGCGCGCGGGGCACGCGCTCGCGGCCGTCGACGGCGCCGGCGTGTTCCTGTTTGGCGGCCAGGGGAAGCGGCTGTTTGACGACCTCCGGGTGCTGGTGGTGCCGCAGCAGCACCAACACGGCCACCACCACTTCTCCGCCCCGGAAGACGCCGCCTCCGCCTGCAGCACGAGCAGCGCCGGCAGCAGCGGCGCAGCGAGCGGCGCGAGCGGCGGCGGCGCGGGCGGCGGCGGGCCGTCGACGGCGCCGGCGTGCGAGTGGGTGGAGGTCAAGCCGCGGGGCCGCGGGCCGAGCGCGCGGCGCGGGCACAGCTTGACGTGGGACGGGCGGGACGCGCTCGTGCTGTTTGGCGGGAGCACGTCCAACAGCACCGACAACGGCGTCTGGTCGTACTCGATTTCGAACCGGGAGTGGACTGAGGTCAAGGCGCGCGGCGCGGTGAGCCGCGGCGCGCGTGCGGGGCGGATCACTGGGGCCTGGGCGGCTGGATACAGTGGACCCTTCGCGGGCCCCTCGCGCAGGGCGTCCTCGTCGGAAGCGCGCGGCAAGCGGGCTTCACTGACGCCGCGCCTGGCTGCATCCCCACCCCAGGTCCCGCCGCCGCGGACGCACCACAGCGCGGTGTTGCTGCGCCCCGGCCGCCTCCTGGTCTTTGGCGGCTGCAACGCGCAGGGCGTGTTCTTCCAGGTCAGCCGCCGCTGCATCCGCGGGCCGCTGCTCTCGGCATGCGGCTGGCCCGCCTGGGTGCACCCATTTGACACACACGCACCCGTACACACGCATGCACACGCACATATGGCACACACACACACACGTGCGCACAGACACACGCAACACACGCGCACACCCATACGCACACACACGCACATACACACACATAGAGGACCGCCGCTGCACCTTGCGCCTGCCCGCTCAGCCCTGCTCACATTAGCCCGAGTTTATCATGCCCTAGCATAAACTTCGGCCTCCACTCCATCTAATCCTGCCAACTCGCCCACCCACATCAAATCAAACCCAGGACGCATACATTCTAGACCTCGGGACACACACCTGGTCCCGGCCCCCCTCCCTCGGCGCCGCCCCCGCGCCGCGCTACCACCACAGCTGCACGCGCGTCGGGCGCCGCATAGTCATATACGGGGGCATCAACCCCAGGCAGGCCTTCGACGGCGTCGTGCTGGTGGAGCCCGGCTCGAGCCTTGGGGGCGAGCTGTCGGCCGCCGCGGACGAGCTCTGCCGCATGAGCGTCGGCAGCGCCGCGAGCGACGGCGGCCTGAGCGGCCGCGGCGGCGGCGGCGGCGGCGGGGTCGGCTACTGCGGCAGCGCGCACGGCAGCAGCCTGTACGGCGCGGCCATGGCCGCGCGC